ATTATAGGTGTGAGCCACTGCGACTGGCCAATCACTTAATTTTTTTTAAATTTTATTTTGAATTGGAGGCTTACTGCGTCACCCAGGCTGGAGTGCAGTGGCACACTCCCGGCCACCTCAGCTTTGACCTGCTGGGCTGAGGCGATCCTTTTGCCTCAGCCTTATAAGTAGCTGGAAAAACAGGCATGCGTTATCACACCTGGCTAATTTTTCTTGATTTATTTATTTATTTATTTATTTTTGAGTTGGAGTCTCACTCTGTCACCCAGACTGGAGTGCAGTGGCTGCTCCTGGCCACCGCAGCCTCGACCTGCTGGGCTCCGGCGATCTTTTTGCCTCACACTTCCAAGTAGCCGGAACTACAGGCGTGCGCTACCACGCCCAGCTATTTTTTGATTTATTGTAGAGATGAGGTCTCGCTGCCCAGGCGGGTCTCGAACCTGCGGGCTCAGGCAATCCACTCACCACAGCCTCCCAAAGGCGTGGGGTTACAGGCTGAGCCACCGAGCCCCGCTTTTTCTTGATTTATTATAGAGATGAGGTCTCACCAGGTTGCCTAGGCTGCTCTTGAGCACATGGGTTCAGGCAATCCTCTCACCTAGGTGTCCCAAAGTGCTGGGATTATAAGCATGAGCCACCACACCCGGCCTCACTTCATTCTTTTTTTTGATTTGGAGTCTCACTCTGTCGCCCAGGCTGGAGTGTAGTGGCTGCTCCCGGCCACCGAAACCTCGACCTCCTGGGCTCGCGATCCTTCCACCTCAGCCTTCCGATTAGCCGGAATTACAGGCATGCGCAACCACGCCTGGCTAATTTTTTTGATTTATTGTAGAGATGAGGTCTCGCCAAGTTGCCCAGGCAGGTCTCGAACCCGCGGGCTGAGGCAATCCACTCACCTCGGCCTCCCAAAGGCACAGGATTACAGGCTGAGCCACCGAGCCCAGCGCTCACTTCATTTTTTTTTTGAGTTGGAGTCTCACTCTGTCACCCAGACTGGAGTGCAGTGGCCGCTCCCGGCCACCGCAGCCTCGACCTGCTGGGCGCCAGCGATCCTTTCGCCTCAGCCTTCCAAGTAGCTGGAACTACAGGCGCGCACTACTACGCCCGGCTAATTTTTGATTTTATTGTAGAGATGAGGTCTCACCAAGTTGCCCAGGCGGGTCTCAAACCCGTGGGCTCAGGCAATCCACTCACCTCAGCCTCCCAAAGTGCTGGGATTACAGGCTGAGCCACCGAGCCCGGCTCACTTCATTCTTAATATTCAATCTGTTGAGCTTTGTATCTACAGTGTATTTTAAAAATTAACATTAGACTTCCTACCAGTTGGCGCGACAGAATGAGATCCTAACTCAAAAATAAATAAGTCAAAAAATTATTAGGCTTCCTAAAGAATTCTAGGATCAAATAAAAATTATATACTAACAAAACTCATTGAAAATGGCTTGTTTAAACTGGGTGCAGTGGCTCATGCCTGTAATCCCAGCACTTTGGGAGGCAGAGGTCAGAGGATTGCTTGAGTCCAGGGGTTTGAGACCAGCCTGGGCAATTTGATGAGAACTTGTTGCTACAATAGATCAAAAAAATTAGCTGGGTGTGGCGCCACGCACTTGTAGTTCCAGCTACCTGGAAGGCTGAGGTTGGAAGGATCCCCTGAGCTCAGCAGGTCAAGGCTGTGGTGGCCATGAGTGTGCCACTGCACTCCAACCTGGGTGACAGAGTGAGACTCTGACTCAAACAAAAAAAAAGGAATTAATACAAAAATTAAAAAATGTATATATCATTTTCCATAGAAGCACATATACTACTGGGGTGTGCTAGGAACGATAATTAAGAAACTGCAGAAACCCCACCAGAAAAATGTCCCTTAGAAGTAGGTAAGCACATAACATGAAATCTTGACACTTTTAACTCTTACCTGACTAAATGAGCCATTATACATCAATACATCAAAAGAAACTGATCATGCCTATAATTCCAGCACTCTCAAAGGCTGAGGCAGGATGATGACTTGAGGCTAGGTGTTCAAGACCAGCCTGGGCAACATATCAGGACCTTGTCTCTAACAACAACAACAAAATTAGCCAGGTGTGCTGGTTTGTGACTGTAGTTCCAGCTACTCAAGAGGCTAAGGCAGGAAGATCACTTAAAACCAGGAGTTCTAGGCTATGATCATGCCTCTGGACTCCAGTGAGACTCTTTTTTTAAGGGGGGAACAAAAAAGAGCTGAAACTTTTGACTTTTATAGGCTCTCTCAAATGAAAAAGTCTTGTTTTCCTGGAATTGTATTTGGCTAGTTTTCTTTTCGTTGTTGTTGTTAAAGGAGAATAGGATTTAAAAAGAGACGCATATTGTTACTTGTATATTTATCAGGTTTTCTTTTACTTCTTTTTTTTGAGTCGGAGTCTTACTCTGTCACCTAGGCTGGAGTGCAGTGGCATGCTGCTCACAGCTATTGAAGCCTCCATCTGCTGGGCTCAGGCAATCCTTCCGTCTCAGCCTTCCAAGCAGCTGGAACCACTGGCATGTGCCACCATGCCTGGCTAATTGTTTTATCATAGAGACGAGGTCTCGACAAGTTCTCTATCCTTGTCTCAAACCCATGGTCTCAGGCAATCCTCTCACCTCCGCCTCCCAAAGTGATGGGATTACAGACAGTCACTGTGCCCGGCCTAATTTTTTTTTTTTTTGAGTTGGAGTCTCACTCTTGTCTCTCAAGCTGTAGTGCAGTGGCACACTCACGGCCACTGCAGCCTCTATCTGCTGGGTTTAGGCGATCCTTCTGCCTCAGTCTTCAAAGTTGGTGAAACTACAGACGCATGCCACCATGCCCAGCTAGTTTTTGTGATTTATTGTAAAGACAAGGTCTCACCAAGTTGCTCAGGCTGATCTCGAACCCCCGGTCTCATGCAATCCTCTCACCTCGGCCTCCCAAAGGGCTAGGACTACAGGTTGAGTCACTGCGCCTGGGCTAACTTTTTGATTTTTTTTTTTTTGAGTTGGAGTCTCACTCTGTCGCCCAGACTGGAGTGCAGTGGCCGCTCCCGGCCACCACAGCCTTGACCTGCTGGGCTCTGGCGATCCTTCTGCCTCAACCTTCTGAGTAGCTGGAACTATAGGCCTGCGATACCACCCCTGGCTAATTTTTTGATTTATTGTAGAGATGAGGTCTCACCATGTTGCCCAGGTGGGCCTCAAACCCGCGAGTTCAGCCAATCCACTCACCTCAGCCTCCCAAGGCGTGGGATTACAAGCTGATCCATGGAGCCCAGCTTCACTCACTTTCATGCAGGAGGCCTTGTAGGTTACTTCATCTTCTGCAGCCTCAGGTGTGAACTGTCCATGAAGCCCTTCAGCAAGAGTTGGAGGGTTTTATTCCTTCATTGAAGTACTCATTCATTTACTAAGTCATTACTTATGAGTGCCAGGGGCTGCATTCTAACTTTCTTGGGCCCTAGGCACTTTTTTGCCTTCCTCCATAAAAACATACTTAAGATTGCATTTTATGACTGTGTTGGCATTCATGATAACTATAATCCAGATTGAATTCATTACCATATATTATTGCATTTTTTTCTTTTGACTTAAAAACATTAAAACATTTTCGTGGGCCCCCAAGACTATCGTCGGGGGCCCTCGACACTGTGCCTACTGGGTGAGTCCTGCTGTGTCCACACTGCTTTAGGAACTACTGTGCCTACTGGGTGAGTCCTGCTGTGTCCACACTGCTTTAGGAAATATAGCCGTGAACAAAACACAGTGCTTGTCCTCCTGGAGCTCATATTCTAGTTCGTGAGAAACAGAAGATAACAGACGCTATCAGTATCTTTTTTTTTTTTGAGTTGGAGTCTCACTCTGTCGCCCAGACTGGAGTGCAGTGGCCGCCTCGACCTGCTGGGCTCCGGCGATCCTTCCACCTCAGCCTTCCAAGTAGCCGGAATTACAGGCGCGCGCTACCACGCCGGGCTGATTTTTTGATTGATTGTAGAGATGAGGTCTCGTGGCCCAGGCGAGTCTCGAACCCGCGGGCTCAGGCAATCCACTCACCTCAGCCTCCCAAAGGCGCGGGATTACAGGCTGAGCCACCGAGCCCGGCTGCTATCAGTATCTTTAGCAGGTGAGGTGGTAATAAACGCTAAGGAGAAAAGTAAGGCGGAGAAGGGGAATGGGAATGGGGAGTGTTAGTAATTTACATAGCACTGACAGGAAAGGCTTTGCTGGGAAAGTATTTTCTAGTGTGTGTTTGTGTTTTTTCTGAGTCAGTGGTCTCACGCTGTCACCCAGGCTGGAGTGCAGCAACACGATCCTCCTCTCCGCAGCCTCGACCTCCTGGGTTCAGGCGATCCTTTCTTTTCTTTTCTTCTTCTTTTTTGTAGAGTCTAGGTCGCTCTCTGTTGCCCAGGCTGGTCTCAAACTCCTTGGCTCAAGCGATCCTCTCTCCTCGGCCTCCCAAAGTGCTGGGATTACAGGCGTGAGCCACCGCGCCCGGCCGGGAAGGTCTGATTTGAAAACAAAAAACCTGAGGAAAGCCTGGGAACAAACTAGTCGCGTACTTCCGGAGAAGAGCAGTTCAGGTTGAGCAGTGACCACCGAGAACAAATCCCCGCACAACGCTGCCCTCAGCGTCGCTCTCGGAGTTACGTGTTCCCACGGCCTAACGAGCGAGGCTGCGGGTCTGAAAACAACCGCCTGACGCCGCAATCTCCATTTTTCTTCCTGGCGCCCACCTAAGACGGGCCTGCTCCTCACTGCGCCTTTCCCACGCGTCACGCCGGGTGCCGTTTTTTTCACACCCGAGTGAACAGCAGAGTCCGGGGCCCCACTGGGGGTCGGAGAGGGGATCGGTGAGGGCCAGCCGACGCGGAAAGGGACGAGCCTCCCCGCGCTGCCCTCTCCCAAGATGGCGGCCGCAGCCCTGCGCTCGGTCCCGCCCGGCGGCGCGCGCGTGCTTAGCGGCGGCGGGCCCGGGCGTCGCGCTGGGAGGGGGGGGGCGGGTCTACCGCGGGAGGGTGATGCGCGCCTTGTGGCCCGGCCTCTAGTCGTCTGCGCCGCGACTGCCGCCGCCCCCACCGCCGCCGCCCTTCCCGGACCGTGGAGGGGAGGATGGAGTCGGTGACCGTCGCCGCCGACGGCGGGGACCGGCCGGCGGTCCCAGCGGGCTCAAGCCTGTCGGCTTCGCAGCGTCGGGCCGAGCTGCGGCGGAGAAAGCTGCTCATGAACTCGGAACAGCGCATCAACCGCATCATGGGCTTCCACAGGCCCGGGAGCGGCGCGGGTGAGAACCTCCCTGCCCCCCGCGCCTGCGCGTCCCTTGGACCTTCAGCGTCGTCCTTTCCAGCTCCCTGTCCACTCCGCTGACCTTTGTGACCGCCCCCAGGTGCCATCCCGGGTCCTCACTCCTCGGCCCCAGGACGTGCCCCGTTTTCGGGGGGCCTCCCCCAGAGATTGCCCCCGAGCCTCTCTGCTCGGCCGCCTTGGGACGGCGCCCTGATTGCCACCCGCTCCCCCGACTGACCTCCCCTTAGGAAGCTGGCTTTTCTTGGAAGCACGTCCCGAGCGCCTTTCCTCCTCCTGCCCTCCCTGGCGTTGACCCTCCTCGGCCTTTGGCTGGAAAGCGCTCGTGCGCCCCCGCCCCGGGTCTCGACGGAACTGCCCCTCGTCCGTCCTACGCGGATCGGGGACCCCTGGGGTCCTCGCCCGGTCTGCGTTCCGGGCCTGCCGGAGCCAGGGGTGGGAAGGGTGGGAGTGAGCGTTCTTTGGCCCACCAAGGGCACGTGCCGGCCTGGTCCGAGGTTCCCCTCCTTAGCCGAGATTGATGGGACTGATGTCCGGACCGCATTCAGCCCCAAAGCGGAGTTCCTCATTTCTCCCCCAGGACATGTCCAGGGAGCTTCTTAACAAACATGTTGGGTGTGGATGTAATTGAACACTTAGTCTGCCCTCGTGTTAGCCAAGTTTCCGTTCGTGATTGGCCTTTAGTCACTGGTTGAACGCTCCTTAGATCTTTGTGACTTTTGTTCTTGTGAGGCTTTAAATCTGAAGCTTTGAACTTGTTCAGATGAGAGGTAAGAACACCATTCCAAATTCTTCTATAACTGTAGAAGAAACGTTTATCAGGATGCTTATTCTTTCCCAAAGCATTGCTTATTCTCTTTCTTGGGGGTGCTTTCTATATTTTGTTCTTTTGCTTTGAAAATTTTATGTCCTAGCCGGGCTCGGTGGCTCAGCCTGTAATCCCGCGCCTTGGGAGGCTGAGGTGAGTGGATTGCCTGAGCCCGTGGGTTCGAGACCCGCCTAGGCAACTTGGCGAGCCCTCATCTCTACAATAAATAAAAAAATTAGCCGGGCGTGGTAGCGCACGCCTGTAATTCCAGCTGCTTGGAAGGCTGAGGTCGAAGGATCGCCGGAGCCCAGCAGGTCGAGGCTGCAGTGGCCGGGAGCGGCCACTGCACTCCAGTCTGGGCGACAGAGCGAGACTGCAACTCAAAAAAAAGGAACATTTATGTCTTAAAAGGTTTGTTTTTTTTTTTTTTTTTAACCAGCCCAACATCCTGAAACTGCCGAAGTGTACCTACTTATGGCTGCCTGACTATATAAACATTAGCTATAGGTTATGCCACGCCCTATGGTCACAGGGCTTTGGATTCAGAAATCTAATTTTGAAATACAGATTTTTAAAAACTTGGTGGGCGCGAGACTGCTCACGCCTGTCATCCCAGCACTTCCAGAGGCGGAAGCGAGAGGATTGCCTGAGCCCACCGGTTCGAGACCAGCCTGGGCAACTTGTTGAGACCTCATCTCTACAATAAATCAAAAAATTAGCTGGGTGTGGTGGGCCACGCCTGGAGTTTTAGCTACTTGGAAGGCTGAGATGGAAGGATTGCCTGAGCCCAGCTGGTCGAGGTGAGTGTGCCACTGCACTCCAACCTGGGCAACAACCAACTCAGCTGGTTGAGGTGAATGTGCCACTACACTGCAGCCTGGGCAAGAAAGTGAGAATCTCACTCAAAAAAAAAAAAATTTTTTTTTAGGCATTTTTTTTTTTTGAAGAGGCAGAATCTCACTCTGAGGCTAGAGTGTAGTGACCTGATCATGGCTCACTATAACTTCAAATTCCTGGGCTTGATCCTCTGGCCTTAGCCTCCCAAATAGCTGAGACTTCAGTCACATGCCACTGTACCTGTCTGTGGACTTATATTTTTACTCTAATGAGGGAGGGCAGGCAATAAATTTTTTTTTTTTATAGAGACTAGGTCTCACTATATTGCCCAGGCTGGTCTCCAACTCCTGGCTTCAAGGGATCATCCTGCCTCAGCCTCCTAAATTGCTGGAATTACAGGCATGAGACTGAGGCTGGCTGAAAAGTTGGTCTTGATAGCTTGCTCCATTCCTGAATATTGTAACCAGTTTGTCTGCTAATCCTATCTCCTACCCACAACCTTTGGGTTATTTCCTCTGCAGGATTATTCTCTTGGGGTGATATATTCTGAGACTGTGGAGGAAGGAACTAATTTTTGTTTTATGCAAGAATTTATTTCAGCTCAGAGACTGCTGAGTTCTGGCTGCAGCAGCATATTTTAAAATATTAACATGTAAGTAAGTTGTTTGCCAGTATGTTATAAATGCATAAGGCTTTTAAATTTCTTTTCTCAGAAGAAGAAAGTCAAACAAAATCAAAGCAGCAGCAGGACAGTGATAAACTGAATTCTCTCAGCGTTCCTTCAGTTTCAAAGCGAGTAGTGCTGGGTGATTCGGTCAGTACAGGAACAACTGACCAGCAGGGTGGTGTGGCCGAGGTAAAGGGGTCCCCACTGGGAGACAAATTGGACTCTTTGATTAAACCACCTGAGTGCAGTAATGATGTCAATCTTGAGCTCCGGCAGCGAAACAGAGGGGACCTGACATCAGACACCGCCCAGAGGGGTTCCCGCCATGGCCTAGAACAGTACCTTTCCAGATTCGAAGAAGCAATGAAGTTAAGGAAACAGCTGATTAGTGAAAAACCCAATCAGGACGATGGAAGTACAGCAGAAGAATTTGACTCTTTTCGAATATTTAGATTGATGGGATGTGCTCTTCTTGCTCTTGGAGTCAGAGCTTTCGTTTGCAAATACCTGGTAAGAAAAGATAATAAATTATTAACTAATTTCATAGAAGATGCAAGTCGGTTATAATGAGTGCTTTTAATCCTTAGATGTCATTTCCAGTAGTAACTTAATATCTACCAGATCCACGTGGCTGTTTGGAGATGTATTTTAAACTTTGCAATTCATTTTAATTGTAGAATGAGGTGTTCTGATAAATGCAGAGCCTAATAATAATTACAGTTGGCCTTGTGTATCTGTGGGTTTTGTCATGTTGGTTCCTCCCCTGTGAATTCAGTCAACTATGGATCAGAAATATTTGGAAAAAACTTAAAATAATACAATGAAAAATAATACATAATAAAAATAATAATTTTTGATTTATTGTACAGATGAGGTCTCACTGTGTTGCCCAGGCTGATCTCCGACACACAGGTTCAGGCAATCCTCTCTCCTTGGCCTCCCAAAGTACTGGGATTATAGGCTTGAGCCACCGCACCTGGCCGTATTTTTTTTTTTTTAGGCTCAGTGGCTCAACCTATAATCCTGCGCCTTGGGAGGCTGAGGTGAGTGGACTGCCTGAGCCCGCGGGTTTGAGACCCGCCTGGGCAGCGAGACCTCATCTCTACAATAAATAAATAAATAAATCAGCTGGGCGTGGTAGCACATGCCTGTAATTCTGACTACTCGGAAGGCTGAGGTGGAAGGATCGCCGGAGCCCAGCAGGTTAAGGCTGCGGTGGCCGGGAGCGGCCACTGCACTCCAGTCTGGGCAATGGAGCGAGACTCCAACTCAAAAATAAAAATAAAAAAAAGAAAAATAATGCAAATAAAAATATATCCTCCTAACTAACAGTATTTTTAAAAAAGAAAAATATGGCCACTATCTACAGAGCATTTACATTGTATTAGCTATCATATATAATCTAGAAATGATTTAAAGTATTTGGGAGGAAATGGGTACATTATATACAAATACTGTGCCATTTTATAAAAAGGACTTGAACATCTGTGCATTTTGATATCTGAGGGGAACCCAAGACACTTCCTTCTCAGATACTGAACTAAAACTCTTGTATATACCGGGTACAAAAGTATACCATTCTAAGTGCTTTACATATATAAGTATTCATTTAATCCTCATTCTTATGAACTAGGTATCTTTTGAATCTGTGAAGGAATGAAGACTCAGAGAGGTTAAATCATTTGCCCAAGGTCACACAACTACTAAGTGACAGCTGGTATTAAACCCAGGCAGTTCCATTTTAGAACCAAGGGGTTAAGTTCCTACATATACCATATATTAGATAGCAGTGTTCAAATAATTTAAAACATTAAAATACAATTCCTGTCATCTTGAATATGAGGTTATTTTCCTATGGTTCAGAAGGCATTTCATCATTTTATGTTGTATTATAATGACAGTCCATTTTTGTTGCACCGTGATGTAGTCCTTTTGTCTTAAAATATGTGGAAGAATACAGGAAAGTATCACTCATAGTTCAGCATCTTGCTCTTTGAGGTATTTCTATTCAGTAGGCATTTTAAGCATACCTACCATGTGCCAGGCACATTTGCTAGACAATTAATGTTTATATCATTAAGCAAAACAGTTTTAAAAAATCTGTTTATGCAGATATTTTTGTAAATAGAATCTGTTGAGTAGCTTTGTTTTCCTCTGATGATAAATTGTTATAGCAAAGATCAGTGATGTTTTAAGCATTTAGTGAGCTGTTTAGCTCTTTCTTGTCTCTTATGTGAAGGTTTAGTGCGTTCATGCTTTGATGTTGTGTTCTATTTTTGTGCCTCATTTTTGTGTGAGATTTTTTGTTGTTTCGATTTTCTGGTTTTCTTTGCTATCGGATATTCAGATGTTTTTCACTCCCCTCATTATACTGCCATCTGGTGTGTTTGGTCCTTCACTCCCTTCACAATACTTTTGATTTAAAAAATAACTATGGGCTGGGCTCAGCCGCTCAGTCTGTAATCCCAGCACTATGGAAGGCCAAGGTGAGTGGATTGCCTGAGCCCACGGGTTCGAGACCCGCCCAGGCAACTTGGTGAGACCTCATCTCTACAATAAATCAAAAATGAACCGGGTATGGTATTGCATGCCTGTAATTCTGGCTACTCGGAAGGCTGAGGCGGAAGGATCGTTGGAGCCCAGCGGGTCGAGCCTACGGTGGCCAGGAGCGTGCCACTGCCCTCCAGTCTGGGCGACGGAGTGAAACTCCAACTCAAAAAAATGAAAATAAAAAATAATTGTGTAAATGAAATGTTATTTTGATCTTTTTTATTTTGTCTGAATAGCCAGATCACCAAGGTGATCTATGGCTCACTCCTTAATCCCAGCACTTTGGGGTGGTGGCACATCCCAGCTACTTGAGATACTGCTGGCAGAAGGATCACCTGAGCCCAGGAGTTGGAGGATGCGGTGAGCTGCCATTATGCCACTGCACTCCAGCCTGGGCAGCAGAGTAAGACTCAAAAAAAGAAAAAAAAAAGAATAGTTTATTTAAGGATCAGAGGTGATAGCTGTATGAGTTGATTCCTTTCCCCAGAGTCTGAGGAATGAATGGCACCTTTTTTTTTTTTTTTTTTTTTTTGTTGGGGTCTCACTCTGTTGTCCAGGCTGGAGTACAATGGCACACTCCTGGCCACCGCAGCCTCGACCTGCTGGGCTCAGGTGATCCTTCTGCCTCAGCCTTCCAAGTAGCCGAAACTACAGGCACAAGCTACCACGCCCAGCTAATTTTTGATTTATTGTACAGATGAGGTCTCACTGTGTTGCCCAGGCTGATCTCCGACACACAGGTTCAGGCAATCCTCTCTCCTTGGCCTCCCAAAGTACTGGGATTATAGGCTTGAGCCACCGCACCTGGCCGTATTTTTTTTTTTTTAGGAGATGGAATCTTGTTGTGTTGCCCAGGCTGGCTTCAAACTTGGGTTCAAGTGATTCTTTTGCCTCAGCCTCCTAAGTAGCTGGAAGAGTGGCATCTATTTTGAGTGCTGAGCCTCTGATGTGTGCTTGCAAGATGTCAGTTAAGTCCCTCTAGGTGAGGGAAATGTTACTACACGATGTGTTATACATCTATCACCATTTAATACTTAAAAATTGTTTTTTTGGAGTTGGAGTCTAACTCTGTCCGCCCAGGCTGGAGTGTAGTGGCACGCTTATGTCCACTGCAGCCTCAACCTGCTGGGCTCAGGCAATCCTTCTGCCTCAGCCTTCCAAGCAACTGGAACTACAGACATGTACCACCACACCTGGCTAATTTTTTGATTTATTGTAGAGATGATGTTTTGCCAAGTTGCCCAGGCTAGTCTTGAACCTGTGGGCCTAGGCAGTCCTCTCACTTCAGCCTCCCAAAATGCTGCGATTATAGGTGTAACCTACTGTGCCTGGCCACTTTAAATAATTTAAAAGGTAAGTTTTAGCAGGACGCGGAGGCTCACACCTGTAATTGGAGTACTTTGGGAGGTCGAGGAGGGAGGATCACTTGAGGCCAGGAGTTGGAGACCAGCTTTGGCAACATAGTAAGATCCCCATCTCTACCAAAATACTAAAAAATTAACTGGACATGGTGGCGCTTGCCTGTAGTCTTAGCTACTCAGGAGGCTGAGGTAGGAGGATTCTTGAGCCCAGGAGTTTGAAGTCATAGTAAGCCATGATAATGCCACTGAACTACAACCTGGGTTTACGAGAGGAAACTGAAAGCATGTGAAATAATTATGTGACTTGAGAAACATGTTTTATATTTAGAATATTAAATCTCTATTTTCTTTACCCTTTAAAAGAAGCTCTAAAAAAGATTATTTTAACCACTAAAAAAAATTTTTTTTGGCCAAGCATGGTGGCTCACATCTGTAATCCCAGCACTTTGGAAGGCTGAGGTGAGAGGATTGCCTGAGCCCACGGGTTTAAGACCAGCCTGGACAATTTGGTGAGACCTCCTCTCTACAATAAATAAAAAAATTAGCCAGGCGTGGTGGGACATGCCTGTAGTTCCAGAGGCTGCAGTGGCCGTGAGCATGCCACTGCACTCCAGCTTAGGCAACAGAGTGACACTCCAACTCAAAAAAGAAAAAAATTTTTTTTCATTTGAAGATCTCATATATTGCCTAGAGTGGAGGACAGTGTCACAATCACAGCTTGAAACTTCTGGTTTCAAGTGATCTTCCTTCCCCACCTCCCAAATATTTGGGATTATAGGTGTGCACCACCACACCTGGCAAATTTTTTTGACTTTTTTGTAGAGATGAGGTCTCCTTATGCTACCCAGGGTAACCTCAAATTCCTGAACTCAAGTGATTCTCCCAAAGTGCTGAGATTACATACAGGCATGAGCCACCACGCCAGGCCAAAAACTTAAGTTTATCTTATTGAATTTTATCTGCTATTATTTTGATTTATTGTGATTTGAATGATTATGTTGGAAATATTTAATTTTATTTTTTATCTTCACAGTCCATATTTGCTCCATTTCTTACTTTACAACTTGCGTACATGGGACTATACAAATATTTTCCCAAGGTAAATTAAATTTTTTCTAAATTATGGTGATGTATTTGGATTGATTTATGACTAGCTAATTTTAGTAACTTAAAAATATTAGTCCTACTTGTGTTCTGAATCTGTGCTATTGAAAGTGTGGTTTGCCCACCAGTGCTTATCTTCAAACTATTTGTTTCTGTTTCTGATGCATTAAGTTCAAAAAGTGAGTAATTAGAAACTTTTATAGCATTTTGACATTGCTGCAACATTTTTATTATATTTTTATCTAAATGTTGTTCCACGGTGGGTTGAGATCCTTCACGAAAGTACGTGTCTAAGAAAAGTATTCAATTTAATTACTTAGTAAATTTAGTAATTCAGCTTGTCTACAATAAAGGGAATTAATTAAAAATGGGTTTGATTATCTTACTGTGCTCCTTACTGAACACTTGATAACAATGCACTTGATCTGATATTTGTAAGAAATACTTGGCCACTATTGCAGAATAGAATGATGGTGACAATGTTTAACTGGTCTGCTTGACAGCAGATGTACATTCAGTTTTATAGGGACTGGCTTGCCTGACATAGAAGATAACTTTACTTGTGTGATCAAGTTTTGTAGGAGTTTTTTGCTGGAAAAATGGCTACTTGACTGTTTGCTTCATCATAATTAATGGGCTGACGGAAACTATGTGTGGGGTTTTAATGAATTTAAAATTTTTGAAGGATCAAATAGGTCAAATACAGAAAGTAAAAGAGTAAGAAATAATTGCAATTTTAATTGAAACATTTATTTAGAAATTACCCTTGAAATATTGATTGAAGTTTTACAGTAGAAAAAGTTTGGAAGCAGCCTAAATGTCCAGTGATAAATGACTGTGTGCCAGGCTCAGTGGCTCAGCCTGTAATCCCGCGCCTTTGGGAGGCTGAGGTGAGTGGATTGCCTGAGCCCGCGGGTTCATGACCTGCCTGGGCAACTTGGCGAGACCTCATCTCTACGATAAATCAAAAATTAGCCGGGTGTGGTAGCGCGTGCCTGTAGCTCCAGCTACTCGGAAGGCTGAGGCGGAAGGATCGCTGGAGCCCAGCAGGTCGAGGCTGCGGTGGCCGGGAGCGGCCACTGCACTCCAGTCTGGGTGACAGAGTGAGACTCCAACTCAAAAATAAATAAATAAATAAGTGACTATGTAAAAAAATTATGGCATATCTATTCAGAATGAAGAAACTGTCCATGTACTGATACTGGTAAACTCTCCAAGAAATACTAAGAGAGGAAAAAAAAACCAAAGTGCAGAATAGGAACTATAGTGTTCTCCTTTGTTTTTGAAAAGGAGGAAAAAAGTATATTATTTGATTTTGCTTATATATGCATACAGAAATTTTGGAAGAATATATATGAAATTTAGCAATGCTTATGGCCGGGTGCGGTGGCTCATGCCTGTAATCCCAGCACTTTGGGAGGTGGAGGTGAGAGTATTTCCTGAGCCCAGGGATTTGAGACCAGCCTGGGTAACTTGGCGAGACATTTTCTCTACAATAAATCAAAAATTAGCCGGGTGTGGTAGTGCGTGCCTATGGTTCCAGCTACTGGGAAGGCTGAAGCAGAAGGATCTCCTGAGTCCAGCAGGTCGAGGCTGTGGTGGCCATCAGCCTGCCACTGAACTCCAGCCTGGGAGACAGAGTGAAACTCCAACTCAAAAAAAACAAAAAAACAATGCTTATGTGAGATGTGTATGGGTTACTAGGTGAATGGAAAAGAGAAAAAGGGATACTTGACTGTATACTTTCTCCCAACGACATTTTGTTAAGCATTTTTTTTTTCTTTTTTCAATTTTATTTGGTTAGGTTCATAGGGACCCTAACTACGAACAATACTACAAACTCTTGATATTATCCTTGTGATAGTCATAACGGTAGTTTGTTGTTGTGTATTTTCTCAAAAGTTTACAAGAAACCATCTCCACAATGTCAGATGATCTGTATTTGACTAGAGTGGCAAAAACTCAAAGAAATATGTGACCATGGGGACACTATAACATATGAATTTAGAATGCTGGTAATTGTGAGTGACACCAAGGCCGTATGTTTTGGTCACTGTCTCAACCTAAGTAAAAACCTAACCGAAAAGGGGACATTTTTAAACAAAATTATAGGAAGCCATTGTTTTGGACTGAGCTTGTGCACTAGGCCTCAACAGACGAGATCAATCCAAAATGGAGTCACTCATGCTAAATGCAACCTAAACTATAACTTTAAGAAAGCACCCAGGCTTAGTGGCTCACGCCTATAACCCCAGCACTTTGGGAGGCTGAGGTGACAGGATTGCCTGAGCCCATGGGTTTAAGATCAATCTGGGCAACTTGGTAAGACCTCATCTCTACAATAAATCAAAAAAATTAGCTGGGCATGGTGGCATGTGCCTGTAGTTCCAGCTACTTGAAAGGCTGAGGCGGAAGAATTGCCTGAGCCTAGAATGTTGGGACTGCAGTGGCCATGAGCATGCTACTGCACTCCAGTCTGGGTGACATAGTGAGACTCTGACTCAAAAAAAAAAAAAAAGAACGAAAGAAAGCAGATAGATCCCAATAAAAGAACAGATTTTGGTTTTTGATTGAAAACAGGAGAATCCAGCAAGTACCCTCTACTCTACTCTTACAAAAACGAAAAAAAAACCCTGAAATTCTTGTGCCCATCTTACAAAAACCACTGTTCTGCTATCGTCCAGGGGATTTGAGACCAAATAAGTATATTTATAATGGTGAGAGTGATGTCAATGCCTAAAGTTTTGATCATTTTGTTAATTTTGGAACTGTTAAATTACATTTAGCCTGAAGTTGCCATTTTACATGTTTACATTTTTATGTGCCATTTTACATGTTTACATTTACATGTTTACATTTACATGTTCAGCCTAAAGGTTTCTTTGTGAATAGTGAACTGTAATCTAACTGGATGTGTAAACAGATCACAGCCTACTCTTGTGTCAATCCTAAAGCAGTTTTAAACACAAAAAAGTTGACAGAATTGTGCCACGAACACTCATTTGTAACTACCATCTAGATTCCACAGTATTATATTCATTGTGTATCTGTCTAATTTTCTACCTATTTTCAATCTAATTTTTCTTGATACACTGCAAAGTATTTCATAGATGGACACATCAGTATACTTCACCCACAATTCAGTATTTGTTTATTGTTTTATTTTATTTTTTGAGTCAGTCTCACTTTGTCACTCATGCTAGAGTGTAGTGGCACAATCATGCCTACCTCGACCTGATGAACTGAGGCGTTCCTTCCACCTCAGCCTTCCAAGTAGCTGGGACTATAGGCATACACCACCATGCCTGGCTAATTTTTTGCTTTATTGTAGAGATGAGATCTCGCTATGTTGCCCAGTCTAGTCACAAGCCCTTGGCTCTGGCAATCCTCTTGCCTCTGCCTCCCAAAGTGCTGGAATTACAGGCATGAGCCACCGCATCTGACAGTTCTTTTTTCGGTCAGAGTCTCGCTCTGATGCCTAGACTGGAGTGTAGTGGCATGTTCACAGCCACCACAGCCTCAACCTGCTGGGCTCAGGCTATCCTCTCGCTTCAGCCTTCCAAGTAGCTAGAACTACAGGCATGTGTCACCATGCCTAGCTAGTTTTCTTTTCTTTTCTTTTCTTTTTTGAGTTGAAGTCTCACTCTTTCACCCAAACTGGAGTGCAGTGGCCGCTCCTGGCCACCACAGCCTTGACCTGCTGGGCTCCGGCGATCCTTCTGCCTCAACCTTCCAAGTAGCTGGAACTACAGGCACGTGTTACCATGCCCGGCTAATTTTTTTTTTACTGTAGAGATGAGGTCTCGCCAAGTTGCCCGGATGGGTCTCGAACCCACGGCCTCAGGCAATCCACTCACCTCAGCCTCCCAAAGCACGGGATTACAGGCTGAGCCACCGAGCCCAGCTCTAGCTAGTTTTTTGATTTATTGTAGAGACAAGGTCATGCCAAGTTACTCGGACTGGTCTCAAACCCGTGGGCTCCAGCAGTCATCTTTGTCTTTGCTTCCCAAAGTGCTGGAATTACAGATGTGAGTCACTGTGTCTGGCAGTTCTTTTTTCTTAAGGTGACATTTCTTTTTTTCTTTTCTTTTTTTTGAGTTGGAGTCTCACTTTTGTCACCCAGGCTGGAGTGCAGTGGCACACTCACGGCCACTGCAACCTCGACCTCTTGGGCTTAGGTGATCCTTCTGCCTCAACCTTTCAAGTAGCTGGAACTACAGGCACACGCCACCATGCCTAGCTAATTTTTATGATTTATTGTAGAGATGAAGTCTCACCAAGTTGCGCAGGCTGATCTCGAACCCCTGTGCTCAAGGTACTCTTCTCGCCTCTGCCACCCAAAGTGCTGGGATTATAGGCATGAGCACCATGCCCAGCCATTAGGTAACATTTTCATAAGTGAAATGCTCAAGTCTCAAGTATACCATTTGATAAATTTTGACAACCTGTTAATCGCATGTCCCTTTCAAGGTTTAGTACTTTGCTGTCACCCCAGGAGGTTCAGTCATGCTTCTTTCCAGGCAGTCCCAGCTCCTACACCCAAGAGATCATTTTCCCCATCATAGATTAGATTTGTCTCATTTGATAATTCTTTTTTTTTTTGAAAATAGAAAGAAGTTTATTATTCACCTTTCACAGATTTGAAAGGGGACTGACACTCAGAGGCAAGTGTGGCCTCCAAAGGGCCACAAAAGCCAGGCTCAGTGGCTCACCCTGTAATCCCGTACCTTGGGAGGCTGAGGTGAGTGGATTGCCTGAACCTGCAGGTTTGAGACCCACCTTGGTAACTTGGCGAGACCTCATCTTTACAATAAAAATCAAAAATTAGCCAGGCATGGCAGCGTGCGCCTGTAGTTCCAGTTACTTGGAAGGCCGAGGCGGAAGGATTGCTGGAGCCCAGTAGTCGAGGCTGCAGTGGCCGGGAGCGACCATAGCACTCCAGTCTGGGCGACAGAGTGAGACTCCAACTCAAAAAAAAAAAAAAAAAAAGAGCCACAAAAATGGGTGTATTTGAGGGCTTTTGGAGAGGAGAGAGAGCGGCAGTTCTCAGTGTTAAGAGGAGAATGAGAGAATGGCATATCTCGGTGGGACCTCCAAAAATGTTAGGGTCACACTCTCCTAGCAGGGCCTCCAGAATGTTAGGTCTGACCCACTGCGGATGTCGGTGTCTGGGGTGCAACCTGATGCTGCGTGAAAGATGCAAAGAATTGCACAGAAGTTAGATTAGAAAATATTGTTTATTTAAAGTAAATTAGTGAGAGAGAGAAAGAGAAGATTCACCTCCCCAAGGTGGGGGAGGGGGCCAAAACCAGGAAGCATGGCGACAGCCATAGCTCAAAGAGCACGTGGACACACCAGAGTCTAGCAAGGCAACGGCCTAATAATCCTCATAAATGGAATCATTCCTGTTTGCACCTTTTTTTTTTTTTTGAGTTGGAGATCTCACAGTGTCTCAGGCTGGAGTGCTGTGGTACAATCATTGCTTACCACAGCCTCAACCTCCTGGCTCAGGTGATCCTCTCACTTCAGCTTCCTAAATAGCTGAGTCTGCAGGTGCACACTGCCATACCTGGCTAATTTTTAAAAATTTTTTGTAGAGTTGAGTTCTTGCTATGTTGCCCAGGCTGGACTTGGGCTCCTTCAAAAGTGCTGGAATAGCTGGGCTCGGTGGCTCAGCCTGTAATCCCGCGCCTTTGGGAGGCTGAGGTGAGTGGATTGCCT